AGAATGTACAACTTGGCACTCTTCACCATCGGTGTGCCCTCATAGGTCTCTTCCAATCTCTTCCACACCTCACTAGCTTTCTCATAATCCTTGATTTGCTCAAACACCTTGGAAATCAATGGCATTGTAGATGGTATTGAGAGCCATTGTGTTGCATTGCTTGTTGGCCTTGTCTTGGTTGGTGAGATTGGTGGGATCAAGAATCACATAATCACTTTCGGTCACATCCCACACTTGATCATTGATTGAACCAAGATACATCTTCATTTTTCTCTTCCAATAATCATAGCATGTGCCATCAAAGAATGGTGGTTTGCCCCCACATGGTTGAACACTACTTGAGCCATAATTTGACACCGAGGTTGTTAAGCCTTCAATCAAACGGTGACCACAGCTCTGATATCACTTGAAAGATCCTAATATGGTTAGAGGGGGGTGAATAGCCTATTAAAAACTCTATAAAACCACTAGAGCAATTGATTAGTACAACAAACGGCGTAATGCAATTTTTCTCTAGCTCTACAAGGGTTGCAAGCCACCTATCCCAACAATTATAGTTGCTATGATCACTAGGCACACAACAAGGCTAGGTTGATACTCACTAAGAGCTCTCAACAAGGCTACACTAAAGAGCTCCACTAGATGAACTTAAGCTATAATACAAGCTCTCAATTCTAGCTACACTAAAGAGCATGCTACAACTAGTTTGTGGGAAAGTAACGGAGTGAGTAAGAAGATTGTACCGCCACATTGAGGAATGAACCAATCACAAGATGAATACTAATCAATCACAGGGAGAAATCCAAGAGACAAGTGACACACCAATTTTTCTCCCGAGTTTCACGTGCTTGCCGACACGCTAGTCCCTCGTTGTGTCGACCAACACTTGGTGGTTCGGCGGCTAAGAGGTGTTGCATGAACCTCGTCCACATAATTGGATACCGCAAGAACCTACCCACAAGTGAGGTAACTCAATGATACAAGCAATGAACTAGAGTTACCTTTCGACTCTCCGTCGGTAAGGTACAAGACCCCTCACAATCACCGGAAGACGGTCACGAACAATCACCAACTCATACCAATGCTCCTCTGCTGCTCCAAGCCATCTAGGTGGCGGACAACCACCAAGAGTAACAAGAACTCCACAACCATAACGATCCCCAAGTGCCACTAGATGCAATCACTCAAGCAAATGCACTTGGAATCACTCCCAATCTCACTATGATGATGAATCAATGATGGAGATGAGTAAGAGGTGTTTGCCTAGACTCACAAGGATGTCAAGTATGTCAAAGTGCCAAGAGGGTAAGCCCCAAGCCGGTACCTTCCTATTTGTAGAGCCCCAAGTCTCAAAGAGCCGTTGGGCACTCTCAGCTGATCGGACGCACTGACCGGACTCAGCCTTACGTTCGGTCGCCAGCGTTCGATCGCTCCGATGGCTGCCACGTGTCCATAGTTCAAACCCCAGTCATCGGATCTCAATGGTCAAAACGATTCCACTCGCACGGTTAAGAGATGACCGGACACGCTGCTCAAACCGGCCTGACGCGGCTCAAGGCAGGGTCCGGTCGAGTCCAATAAGCACCCCGAGAGGGTTTTTAACGACCGGACGTGTCAGGTCAAGGCTGACAAGACACGCCGGTGCATATGCTCTTCTTTGTGCTCGACCAAGAGGATGACGCCAGCGTACGTCATCAACGACCTAACGCGGCCCCTACGTGTCCGGTCGCACCAAAGCGCCTCCTCTGAAAAAGTGACCGGACGCGCCGGTGTAGCCAAGCCCTAGCGTCTAGTCGTTCCTCAGCCCTCTTGGCCAGTCACTGCCTCCTCGCTATAATTGACCAGACTCAGCTGCCAGCGTCCGGTCAGGACGTGGCCATCGTCCGATCACAGTGCGGCTCCTTTTCTTTTTCTAAGTCCGCAACCACTTCGCCCTTGCTTCCAACTTGCTAACCACAAAGTGTAGAACTTGTGTGCACATGTGTTAGCATTTTTCAAAGCATTTTTCAAGGGTCAGAGTTAGCACACTAGGTTCCTAAATGCATATGCAAGAACAATGTCGCCTAGTGGCACTCAATAACCGCTTAGCCAAAGATTTTCCCTCTTTATAGTTCGGCTATCAATCCTAAACGTGAGCATACTCTTTATAGTATCTTGATCACAAAAAACAAAACCTATCTTATACCTTTGCCTTGATCTCCTTGGTTTTATTTTTCTCTTTCTTCTTTTCCAAGTTGAGCTTGATCACCATCATCTCATGTCCATCTTCAACTCCATGGACCTCATCTTGCTTTATGACTTGGATTGGACCACCTTGTCTAATTCACACACTTAGATCAAAGAATAGTCCTAGGTTTCATCAATTATACAAACTCAAACTAGGGCTTTCAACAGGTAGGCAGGCGATTAAGTTTTTGGGAGCGCATCTGCACGACTTCTCTTCATCCGTTTCCGACGAGTCAATCCAGTTGTTGTAGGCTTCCTCGAGTGAACGACTACTTTGGCTACTTTCTGGTGACCACTCGTGGGACTACACTGGATACATCTTCCCGCATTGTGGCTAGATCGGCTACTTCGAGCAGGACCACCATGACCAAGTCTTATGATGGTAACTGTGTTCCCCTTGCCTTTAGCTCGGGTCCACTCAAGGCTACAAAAAACTCCTCTCTAGCACATTTGGTTATGTGCGTTCTGGATCTGTGGATATAGGACCTGCTATTACCTTGTTTGGTAGCAGATCTGCATGTGCGTTGAATGGATTGCTCATGGTCGTTAATGTTATGTTGTATGTAATATCATGTTTCTAGGTTAAAGCATGCCATAAAATGACTAAATATTCAACAATCCAAAAACTTGATAGGTCTTTTCGGCTGCTAGCTTTGCTGCGTCACTTAAACCACACCCTCTGCAAGATGGTTCCAACTCTAAGAGATGGCGTGTGTGTGCTCTGTTGTGGTTTACTGTTATGCACTGTGAGTACGTGATCAAGGGAAAGTGCACTGAACCTGCTCATAGGGAATAGAGTAGTTTCAATGAGGCTGATAACTTGTTCAAAGGTGCTCTTATCAGTATACTGACAGATAACATAGTGGAGGTGTACATGGACTTGCCTATGGGTAAGGAGATGTGGGATGCACTTGAGGTCAAGTTCGGAGTTGCTGATGCTGGCAGTGAGTTGTATGTCATGGAGAAGTTCTATGGCTACAAAACGATCGATGATCGATCTATAGTAGAACATGCTCATGAGATTCTGATGCTGGCTAAGGAGCTCTAGAATAATGAGTGCGTGTTACCCAATAAGTTTGTGGCTGGCGGTATCATCACCAAGTTACCACCTACTTGGTCAGGTTTTGCCACCTCTCTAAAGCATAGGAGGCAAGAGTTCAGTGTGTGACTAACCTCATTGCTACTCTTGGTGTTGAAGAGAAGACAAGGGCAAAGAACACTCGTGGCAAAGTATGTGTTTGATGAGGGAGGTTCTAGCGCCATCCTGGTGGAGAAGAAGAACTCATGCTTCTCACAACAAGAAAAAGGAATAAGTTTGTTGTCAAGCCTAAGGCTGCTACAAACTTTAAGAAGAAAGGTAAGGGAAAAGGTATGTGCTTTGTGTGTAGTAGCTCTAAGCATTGGGCTAAGGGCAGCAGCAACGCGGGCACCTAGCAGCATTAGCCCCAGAAAAAGGTCACCCTCCACGTATGCCTGATGGATGAAGACTACCGATCACTCAACGCAAGCTACATATGTCTTGTCTCTTCGGGGGTCCCACTGTCTGCACAATGCTCAGTCCCAACCAGAGAAAATTTGGAGCCAAACGCACAAACCAGACGTGGTCCCAACAGTCTAGAGCCACTACTCCCATCACAGTGTGCTGCCTAGCTATTGCTTTTCGACTTTTGTTAGATGAGGCAATGGTCTCCTCTGTAAGACAACATGAGACTCTACGAGGCTATAACTCCCTATGACATGGAAGTCTGGAGCTGAGGTGGCCATTGAGGCAGCACGCCATGGTGGTGCGTTGGGGAAGCCCTAAGGAGTGCATGGCTCCCTCTGTCATTTGTGAAACAATTTTTTACAACAACTTGTGAAACAATTTGTACTTTAGTTCTAATGTTGTTCTTCATCACTCCTATTTTAAGTTTATTCTAGGAATTCCTAGGTTTAACCCAAAAACCACTTTCACTATTTTCCTTTTTTCAATCCTCTATTTTGACTCCGCACTATCCTTTTATGTGTTTCTCTTTAAATTTTCACTCAGCACTGTGATTTTCTCTTGTGCTCGCACAAAGTAAAGGAAAATGGTACGGTGTCATTGTCCATGTCCAGAGGAAGCATTTTCATTCATTCACTCTCTTGTAATATTTAAGTATATAATACTGTATCTATACAACCGCAAAGTTTTTTTTTAAAAAAAAGTGTATATAAACACGGTGCAGGTTTGTTTAGGTAGAGTATAGAGTTTAGGAGTGTCTAGGTAGGGTATATAGTTTGATTTTAGGTTGGATTAGAATGAATGAAACGATCATTGAATAGATCTGTGAGCAGTTAGTCATCCATGTGAACATGCAACATATTACCGTTTAGCACAGCTCAATTTCACCGGCAAATCAATTTTTTTTTCTTTAGCTTTATGAGCAGCTTTACCAGTAAAGCTAAAGTCATTCTGGTGAAACATTTGGTAAACCAACTCTGCATGAAAACATGCTCTCACAGAATCGCACACATGGCCCACAAGTGTGAGGTGAAGCTGTAAAAAGCTATTATTTTCAGCTTCATCCCTTCCCATTCGTTGTGAGAGTAGAATTTTAAGAAGTTTCATTGGTGAAGCTGTTTGCAAAATACTCATTATGCACAAAACAGCTTAAAACAATTTGTGAAGTTGCTATAGAAGCTGTGCCAAACAGGGTCATATCTCGTTGCAAAGCACGAACGACATATATTTGCTAATTTACAAACAATAATTTTTTTTATCCCAAATCAGAGTAAACTATAAGACACATTTGCTACTCGTCAAAAAGGTCTTCGTCGTCGTCGTCAAAATCATCCTCATCGTCATCGTCATAGTTATGCATGCCATCGTCATCATCGTCTGTATAGTCATCGTTGTCGCCATAATCATTTGCATCTACAGTGCCAGCTGCTGCCACCAGCTTGGAACTATCATCAACACTGAGATCAAGACAGACATCATTAGCCCCCACGCATGACTCTGTTCCACCATTAGCCATTGCTTCCATGCCACCAGGCTTCGCCGTCGCCGTACCGTCGCCCCTCCTCCTCCTCCTTGACAACCTTCTTGACCCTGCAGATAGATTTCGCGTCAATCACCCTTCGTCCACTGGTGGATGTATCATTTGGCTTCATGTCCATGGACGCAGCCACTTCTTCCTCCTCTTCAGAGTTCTTCGTTTCCTTCTCCGCGGCCTTCTTCTTGAGCTCGTCGATGAGGCACGCAAGGCAAGCGTCCACGCCATGGTCGGCGTGCTTGGACACCATTAGGCACTTGGAGACATCGGCCAGCGTGATCTCCACCACCTGCAGCAGCTCCTCCACAGCGTCGAACAGCGGGTGTGAGTCGACGCCGAGGTAGTTCATGGCCAGTGTCGTGAATGCCTTGAAGCAGCAGTAGGACATCTCGACATGCATGTCCATCCGCCCGCGCCGGATCAGCGCCGGGTCCAGCTTGTCAACGAAGTTGGTGGTGAACACGATGATCCACTCGCCGCTGTGCGCCTACTAGAGCCCGTCGATGAAGTTGAGAAGGCCGGACAGTGTCACCTCTTGTTGATGTAGAAGCACCTTGTATGTTTTAATTTTAACCGATGAGATCACTCGGCTGCATGCCAACGGGCTGCAATGCTGGGCTATGTGAATGAAAGGCTTGAGTTAAGCCAGTTTTGGACTATTTTTTGTTAGTTTATTAATTTTCTAATTAAATTGGAACCAACAAAAAGATTTAATTAGAAAATGAAGTATAAGTGAATGTTTTAGTCGTCATAACTAAGTTTTCGTTACAGTAAATAGTATATATTTTTTCCATCATTATGATAAGAGTCCGCATAGCAAGAGAAGCTAGGGTAGCTCTTATGCTATCCTAGTATTGACCATGGCACAATAGAAAAGCACCATCATGGTCAATACTAACCAAAGGATAAGAAAAACGTGCAAGCGTGACTTGCAAAAGTACTACTAATAAAAGACCTCGTTGAGTTCTTGAAGTGGAATGAGGAAAGTGTACTCCTATACGAATCAAGAAATAACTTTGTTTGCATGACATAATCATGTGAATGAAGTAAGTCATAAGTGTCTCCTCGTTTATAGGTTTTTTGAATAGTTCTCAAAATTATGGCAGTAAAGTTTATGCCATATTTTGAGGGGGAGGATTGTGAGAGCAATTATGAGTGAGATAAAGATCAATTAAGAAAGATACTCTTCATTAAGAGTGAGATAAAGATCAATTAAGAAAAATACTCTTCATTAAGAGTGAGATAAAGATTAATTAAGATGAATGTGACCGTCGGAGGAGTATAACGGTCACAACAATGATACCTCTAAGCAGAAAATAGCTAAATTTCTAGACTTTTTACAGTTCCGATAGGAAGATTGCGTAGTCAGCCAGAATTCATATTGGACGAGCCTCAAAGATATTAAGGCGATGCTTAAAGCGCCATATAAGGTTTTAATAGATTAAACCCAAATAAGAAATTTGAAGATACACTATCTTTATAGAAGATAGGATAATCTAGGGGAGCATGGTATGTGGAGGTATGTAGAGACCTAAGACTTGAAGAGAAGAGAGACTGTGTGTCCACTCTAGTGATTCAAGAGCAACAAATTTCTCAATACCTGTTGATGTTGTATGACTTACACAACACCTGTTGTTAGCTATTCGGAAAAGGTGAATAATATAAACAAAGATCTTGTGATACAAGAGCCTATAGAATCAATTGTCTCTTGGCAATGAAGAGCAACAACAGCCCCATATGAAAGTGCCAGTAGCTGAGGCCCTAGAAGATCTCAAAGAATTAGTAAACCAGTTTTTTCTGATGACTATGAAGTCTATGTTAGTGAATAGAGGGTGATCCCACCTCATTTGAAGAAGTCATGAGAAGCGTTTACTCGTCTAAATGGTAAGAAGCTATAGAAGCTAAAATGAATTCGATGAATACCAACGATGTTTGGGACTTAGAAGAAATTCTTAATGGAGCCAAAACAGTAGGGTATGAATGGGTCTACAAGACAAAATGTGACTCTAAAGGAAATGTTGAAAAATATAAAGCATGACTTGTAGCAAAAGGCTTTACGCAAAGAGAATGAATAGATTACAATGAGAGTTTTTTCTCCAGTCTCATGTAAGGATTCTTTTAGAATCATAATGGCGTTAGTGGCACATTACGATTTAGAGTTACATCAGATGGATGTAAAGATGATATTCCTCAACGGGGATTTGTATGAAAAACGTTTACATGGTACAACCCAAAGGTTTTGTCGTGGAAGCAAAAGAATGTATGGGATGCCGCCTGCAGAAATCCATTTATGGGTTAAAACAAGTCTCTAGACAGTAGTATTTGAAGTTGATGAAACAATAAGAAAGTTTGGGTTTAAAAGAGAATGAGGAGGACAATAGCGCTTATGCAAAAGTTCAAGAATGAAAAAATCATTTTCCACATCCTGTGTATAGATGACATCCTACTCACTAGTAGTGATGTTAATCTACCATTGGAGAAGAAGTTCTTGCCCTTAAGTTTCAATATGAATGATCTTGGTGAAGGGTCATTGGTTCTAAGAATTTAAATTTACCGAGATAGAAGAAAAGGGGTATTAGGCCTATAGCATAGGCATACTAGAAAAGATTCTAAAGTAATAAAGTATGCATGCGAGTAAACCTACGCCTGCTCATATAGTCAAGGGTAATAGTTTTGGGAACTTTTAGTGTTCCAGGAACCGATATGAGATCGATCAAATGAACATGGTTCCATATGATTCAGTTGTTGGAAGCTTAATGAGTGTACAAGTAAGAATATACCCTGACGTAGCTCACGTATCCGGGATGTTTTAGCAGAAGTCTAGTCCAGATATAGATCACTGGAATAGAGTTAAGAATGTCTTGTAATTTTGCGAAGTATTGTATGCCTCATGTTGAGTAAGATAGAACAGGTACTCTCAAATAGTTGTTGGTACAAATGTTAAACTTCGGCGAGATGTGTAGTGAAATCCACAGTAGTAGCTAACACTCGCAGTTAGAGTTTTATTGTGGAAAAGCTCTAAAGAAACTGTTGTGGTATCATCAATGATGCATATCCATAGTATAGCTTGTCATGAGGCTTCAGGAACAGGCAAAAGATGGTTAAGAGAATTTGTACCCGAATTTAACAATAGTAGACAATAGCAATAACCATTTTAAGTAGTTAACTCCTATGACAACAGGTCAAGTGTACTGTCAAACACATTGACATTAAGTTATATGTTGTAAAGGAGAAAATCCAGAATCATTTTGAAAGCATTGAGAATATAAGTACCGAGCAAGTACTTGTGGATCCGCTTACCATGGACTAACCACCTAGTGCATTCAGAGAACACACAGTCGACACGGGTTTATGGGAAAGCCTATGATTTCTGGATACGAAGAGCCTAGTTGAGAATCTGTTTTAAAACAGAGAGGTGTATTGTAGCTGTTAATCTAGCGGTACTAACTGTTGTGACGAGGCATGCTCTATGCACTAATGAAAGCTCTAGTTTGGTTTTGGTGAATTGATGAAACCCTATGTGCTAACCTAGTTTATCAAGTGAATCATAAGATAGGTAGCACACTCCAAGTGGTGAAGCAAATGAAGATCATAGCATGATAATGATGATGTCATGGTGATGATCAAGTGCTTCGACTTGGAAAGAAGAAAGAGAAAAACAAAAAGCTCAAGGCAAAGGTATAATTTGTTGGAGCTATTTTTTTTTTGATCAAGACACTTAGAGAGTGTGATCACATTTAGGTTTGATAGCCGTACTATTAAGAGGGGTGAAACTCGTATCGTAATGCGGTTATCAAAGTGCCACTAGATGCTCTAACTCATTGCATATGCATTTAGGATCTAGTGGAGTGCTAACACCCTTGAAAATGTTTGTGAAAATATGCTAACACATGTGCACAAGGTGATACACTTGGTGGTTGGCACATTTGAGCAAGGGTGAAGAAGTTTGAGGTGGAAACGAGTTAGTCGCGCTGGTCACAGAGTGGCCGGACGCGTCCGGTATGTATATCGGACACGTCCGGTATGTGACTCGGACTGAATTGCACAGTGTGACTAGACGGACGTCCGGTCGCCATACCGGACACGTCCGGTGTGAATCTGCATGGTCGGTGTTCGGTAGTGCAGTTGATCGGACGCTGGCAGCGTCCGGTCCAGAGTGACCGGACGTGTCCGGTCGAGCGTGGATGCTTACTGTACTCCACCGAACGCTGAGGCTCATCATCCGGTCAGTTTCTAACAGACGCGTCCGGTCGGCCCTGGAGGCTTACTGGACTCAACCGGACTCAGCAGCTCGGCATCCGGTCATTTGTGTTTCTGCGTCCGGTGTGAGCGTCCGGTCATCGGCAGTATGGGCAGCAACGGCTACGGTGGTTTGAACTGGACACGTGGCAGTCATGCAGCTACCGGACACATCCGGTATAGCGACCGGACACGTCCGTTATTCACGATCGGCACGTCCGGTGTTGCGTCCGGTCGATCTGACCGGAGCGTCCGGTCGATGCGTAGTCAGCCCAATAATTGAGCCAACGGCTCTATTTCGTGGGGGCTTCTATTTAAGCCCCATGGCTGGCTCAAGCTCACTCTCTTGGCCATTTGCATTGACATAGCAACCTTGTGAGCTTAGCCAAAGCCCTGCCACTCATCTCTATCATTGATTCATCATCTTTGTGAGATTGGGAGAGAATCCAAGTGCATTGCTTGGGTGTTTGCATCTAGTGGCACTTGGTGTTCATGTTTCGCTACGAGATTCGCTTGTTACTCTTGGTGGTTGCCGCCACCTAGACGGCTTGGAGCAGCGAGGATCATCGAGTGGAGGGTGGTGATTGTCTCCGGCTCCGATTGTGGTGATTGTGAGGGGTTCTTGATCTTTTCTCGACGGAGCGCCAAAAGGTACTCTAGTGGATTGCTCGTGGCTTGTGTGATCCTCATCTTGTGTTGGTAGTGCGGCACCCTATTGAGGGTTTGGCGTGTGATGCCAATTAGCGCGTGAACCTCCAAGTGAGTGAATCGCCACAACGAGGAGTAGCTTACCGGCAATCAAGTGAACCTCGGTAAAAAATCATTATGTTCAACCTTTGATTTCGAGGTGATTGGTCTTCATTGTTATTCACTCTTGTGATTGATTGGTTCCTTCATCTACAAGGCGGTATAACTTTGTTGATCACTCGCTCTTTACATTACCGCAAACTAGTTGTCAAGCTCTTTAAAAGTGATTGGTTCCTTCATCTACACGGAGGTAGCTTTCTTGGTTCTTTACATTGTGGCTCTTTAGTTAGCTCTTTAGAGAGCTACACTAACATGGTTGGGGTAGTGCTCTTTAGGTATTTGTGAATAGATAATATATTAAACTAGAATTGTGATAGATACTATCTAAACTAGAATTGTGGTAGGTGGCTTGTATTTTTA